TACCTATCATACCAATGGCTTCCCGAAATGCCCCTATAGGGATTGTATCGGGTCAGCCACTAGTTCAAAGGGTAGCCAAGCCTTAAACCAGCCCCTCTGAACTGATTTAAAAAAAAAGTAAAACTAAAAAAAAGCACTGACACAGGCCGAGGTATCGGCCAGTGTCGATACTTTGAACCTTGGTTATATTGACCTCAACCCAACCTAACCTAGCTCGCTTGCACCCCTACCATTACTTAAATAAGTGACGAAGGAACATCATTTATCACTTAAATGTTAACAATTATTAATTTTGAATAGTCACTTAATTGCATTTTAAAAAAATAGTCACTTAATTCAAATTTGTGATCATATAAAGAGTATTTTCAAATAAACTTGTTCTTTTTAATGGTAACTCTTCAAACCTATATAATGGGTGTAAGCCAAGTTGTTTCACACTGCTGAACACTCTTGTCTTGCCCAATTCAAATTACTACTATCTCACAAAAGATTTCTTTAGAGATTCTTCAACTTTATTGATTGCAGTTTCTTACCTCATTCTTTGTTCTATATTGAGAATGAATTTACCTACAATACAACAATATTTGCCTCCCAATTCAAGTTCTTTCTTTCTTTCTTTCTCAGTCGAAAACCACCTTTGTCTCAACCTCTCTTCTCACAAAAGAAAGGCAACCGCAAATATTTGCCCTAATCTAATCAAACTGTCTGAACCGTTTGACCCAGGAATCGATCATGGCTATAGGTCTATTTTCGGGTCGGTTTTTAAAACCTTGAAGGGTTGGATTGCATATTCAAAGGAAGAGAGAAGAATAAGAAAGGAGGACTAGAGGAGAGAGGAGAGAGAGGGGAGAAGAACAAGGGAGAGAACAGAGAACTTGCAATGGGCTAGTGGCACAGCCGGTGATCCGATGATAGTAAAAGTGGATAAGGTTGAAGAAGAACGGAAGTGAAGAAAGAGAGGGAGAGAGGTCAAGATTAGAAAGAGTAGGGTGGGTTATAATAAAATTTAACTTTTTTGGGGGAGTTTTACAATTGGTGGGTGCAGAAATTTTTCTGCATCCTAGATGTAGAGAATGCGAGTTTGGTTCGAGCTATCTTAATATCCAAAATTTTAGGGTGCCAATTGGAATCGAATTCACTTATTCCTAACACCTATTTGGTTCATTTGTATTTGGAATCGAAATCAACTAAACACTTTTAATTTTGTATTAATCTATTTATTATTTTATTATTACTTTATTAATATGTTATGAATATATAACTATTATTTTATTATTATAATTATTAATAATTTATTATTATTTCTATTAATCTATTACTATTTTACTATTTTTGTATTTTATTAATACCTTAATTATATCATATTAATATTGATTATTATTATCATATTTATTTAATTAATATCATCTTTGATTTTTATTATTATTTTATTAGTATTTAATAATTAATATCTAAGAAGTTATCATTTATTCATTTATGAATATTTTATTAATATACATTATTTTATTATATTCTATTATTATTCTTTTATTATTTGATTAATATTATATTATTTTTGTTTATTGTTTTAAAATTAATAATTAGTATCTTATTATTACTTGAATTATATTATATTAATATTTTATTTATACTTATTATTATTATGATTATTATTTAATAAATAATATCTTTACATTTTATTATTAATTCATTGATATTCTATTGTTTAACTATTAATGTTTTATGATTAATTTAATTATATAGAAGTAATATTTCATTATGGTATTATTATTTCATTACTATTTATTAATTGTTTATTAATATTCTATTATTTTATTAATATTAGGGCTTGAGGGGTTTTTGTCATGAGTTCTTTGCCTCTTCAGACTCTGAATCCCATTCCCTAGGGGAGGGCCTAGAATGGCCATTCTCCAATATGGGGGAATTCTATCCTGCCAAGAATGAAAATCAGAACCCCATTCTTGCCAAACAAACAGTTGGAATCGAAATTCCGATTTTGATTTTAGACACCTATTCTAGTGGAGATCGACTTCCATCAAGGCAAACCTGTGCCCACATCGATCTAACAGCCTTTCCCAACCTTGCATTGAGAATATCTCCCAATGAAATAAAGCACATCAATACGGAGATATTCTCAATGCAAGGCAGGCTGCTCGGATCCTGACTGAAGCCCAACTCATTCTAATGAACCAAATGGACCCTCAAATGAATCACAATGGCACCGTAAAACAAATTTGAAAAAGTATTTATTTATTTTATTCTCAATTGGGCACTGCCATTAGTTCCATCCACGTCGGCCCGCTTTTTTAGTATGGATATTCAATAGTATTTATTTGCACTATTTCGTTTGGAATGGGTATCCAATAGTTTGTTATTTTCAGATGTATGGTTAGTGAGATCATTCACTTTTTAACCTTTTTTTAAGTATGACATTTGTTACGTTGGAATTGGAAAATAGCAAGTGGGGAATTAAGACACGATTTAATTGGCTAATATAATATTAGCCAATTAAATCAACCGGTGTATCCATATTTTGAACCTTGGTAAAATGTAACCCATGCACAACATTGGGTTATGTATATTTCTAAACCAAAATCAACCGGTTTTATTTGAGATCTGGTTTGGTCAGTCTTTGCCATTTTTATCAACAGCCCTCCTATCCATTATTTCTGGGCCAAAACTGTCGTCATATTCCTTATGGACTTATTCACAAAATGGCTTGGTTCATAATTTAGCCCTGGCTGATTGTATTGTATTGTTTTTTGATCCTTTAATGAATTGTCTTAATCTTGATTACCAAATAATAAAATCACATATTCCGTATCTATATTTTGAACCTTGGAGATACTTTTGAAAACTTGCTTGTCGATAAAATCCCTAAAATTAAACATGGAAAAATCAGCAAAACATCTCTCTACCATAAAAAACATTTTTCAAAAGCTTAAATCCCAAGCTTAATTTCTCTCCAAGTACTCAGTTCATCAAATCAACCATAGGAATTACATAAACAAGTTGGGCCTCGATGCCTTGTATGTGGTTTTAAGCTTCCTGGTTGGAGGCCTGACC